AAAAGCCCTCTAAAATAATTCATAATAGTACTTTAATTCATCTCATATTTGAAGTTTGGTGGAAAAAAAAAAAACCCTAACTGTTCTTCACAATACCATGACTCAAAATCGAAAATCTTTATCAATTCTATGTATACATTTTATGCATTAAAATTAAAAAAAGCAGTTTTGCATTAAAAATTTGGGTATTTTTTTGCATCAATAATTTATCAACATGCAATTTTTTGCATTAAAAATTTAACAATAAAAATTTAAAATATAGTTTAATTCGTCACGATAATCAAAATCTAGTCATGATTTTCATAATTTTTCAGGAAATCACGATTTCTCGAAAAAATTGATCATCAATTTTTTTTTAAAAAAAACACAGTTCTTCACAAACCCACCTGACATCAGTCCTTCCAACTCAAAAATCTGCCTCAAATCGAATAAATTACATCAAAATGAATACATGTTATGATAAACAAAACTATAAGGAATCAACGCTCTATAATATTAACACATTATTATAAAAAATTTGAATAAAATTGATTGAATAGCGGGGAAAAAAAAAACGCAGGCCTTCATAGTCCCGCCCAACATCAGTCATTCCATCTCAAAAATCAGGCTCAAATTGAATAAATCAGATCAAATTAAATACATGTGATGATAAACAACACTGTAAGGAATCAAAACCCTATAAAATTAACACATTATTTACAAATAATTGAGTAAAATTGAATGAATGGCTGGAAAAAAAAAAAAAAAACGTAGTTCTTCACTGACATCAGTCATTTTTTCTAAAAAAATCAAGCTCAAATTGAATACATGTGATGATAAACAACACTATAAGCAATAAAAACCCCATGAATTTAACATATTATTTGCAAATAATTGAGTAATATCGATTGAATGGCGAAAAAAAAAAAATGCAGTTCTTCACAGACATCAGTCATTTTTTCTTGAAAATCAACCCTAAATTGAGTAAATCAGATCAAATTGAATACATGTGACGATAAACAACACTATAAGGAATCAAAACTCTATAATATTAACATATTATTTGTAAAATATTGAATAAATTGATAGAATGGCAGAAAAAAAAAAAAAAACCGGCAGTTCTTTCATGTTTTTCCCGCACCTGTGGCATCAAAATCAAATCTGAGATGTAATCGTCCAAAATACTCACAAATTATGAACAACAACTTCTAAACAACGCTCTTAAGATCAATAACCGTAAAATTTTACAAAAAATGTTGCTTTATTTTGCTTGAAATCGGAGAAATGGCGGATCCTTAAAACTCACGCTTTGTTATTAACAGATCCAAATATTTGTGATCAAAATCAATGATTTCTACAACAATTTATTTATTGAAATGTCTGAAATGATTAAAGTAAAGGTTGAAAGATTCGATTACAAAGCTGAAAAATATGAAAAATGATAAAAAAAGGACAAAAAACCATGAATCCCGTGAAGAACACTGTGTAACCCGTGTTTTACTATTGGGAACCGGCTTGACTTGGCGATTCACTGTTGGGAATCGCCCGGTTCTCTCTAGACACGGGCCATTCCGAGTATTTCAGTGGAACCAGCATGGGTGTGCCGGTTCCAGAGTCGAACCGGGCGAGTCCGGTTCAACTCATTGACTTTGAAACATTGGTTTGTCCTAAAAAGCAAGGTTTAAATTATCTCAAGGGGTTAGAAGAAATAAAATCCATAATTTTTGTGCCCCAATATATCTTTTAAAACCTTAGGTCCATTGTGAAATGAAACCTAAAAATAGGGGGTATAGAGATATTTTCCCTTAATTATACTAATAAATAGTTATAAAAAATATTGTATTAATTACAAAAATAATTAGAATCCTAATTAAATATTATGAATATCTTATATTCATATAAATGCAATTATGTAAATTCTAATTTTATTTATATAATTTATTAATTTATAATTTTATATTATTTATTTAATAAATATTAAATATTTTTTTGATTAAAAATGCAACTTAATTTAATACGTTCATTCTTATATGTGGGACTATTTGCTTTATCCTTTTTTCTCTAGCATCTTATTAGGGTGAAGGGTGAAAAGAGTACATTATGCTTTGCAAAAACAACTATATGGGTGTGTAGTATGTTATTCAACATTTTTTATTATTTTCTGAATTTTGATATCCTTATTTTATATTTTTTTGGGTTTGTTTGAGTATTTTTTTAATATCATAACATTGAAAATTAGAAAGGGTTTTATTTTTATTATGAATCATATGATATGGAAATGTATTCTAATATTTTTTGAATCATGTTATTATAGTATTATAATTAATAATTATACATTATAAGCAAATCTTGTATTTTATTTATTACTTTATTTTATTATAAATTATAAAATGTATATTTTTTGTTATAGTTATAAATAAGATTTTTAAATTACATGATATTAAAAGAAAAAATTTAAATATATTCTTATTTATATAGTAAAATAAATTATAAAATATAAACCAACAATGCTAATTTCAGTGCAAAATATTATAGTTAGTTAGGTTGTGATAATTTTGGATGAGTATAGAGAATTAATAATGTTTGATGCGATACTAATTTCACTTTAATAAAGAGTAAATATCGAAGTATTTTTTAATATTTTTTTAATCATTTATATTATAATAAATTATTATATAGACATCCTAATAGGGAAGCAACGTCTCAATATTCATATACTTTTTATAAATAATGAAAGTAAAAAATATAACAGCCCTAATTTTTTTTCAAAACTCAAAAAAAAGTATTTTTAAAGAATTTTAGGCCAAAACCAACACATTTTCAGATCTAGATCATTGATCCTCCCATTCAACATGATTTTGGGATGGCGGATTTGGATCTCCAATTCGTTTTCTAAACCTTGGTATATATAGATAGGCCTATTTTCTAATGGGTAAACTTTCTATTCTGTATAAAACTTATATACTTTTCCCTATCCCACTTTACATTCTAGATGGACGACTGAGATGACGCCAATCACAATGTCATGCCTCTGCACTATTGTATTTCTAATTCTTTTCTACAAAATATTTTAACACCAAATTTTGGGCGTCCACTCCTCTCTTAAACTCGCACGGGTAAAAAATATTTAATTTTTTTTTCAATAACATAAATTGATAAAAAAATGCCCCTAAAAGTTTTAGGGGTATTTTGGCTATTGCAATTTATCAAAAATATTGTTTTAATATTGTTTTTAGGTGCGTCACATTGAGATGATGACACGTACCACAATTTATATTCATATAATTTATAGAAAAAATAAAAAATAAAATGCTTTGAGGCGTCAGATCTGAATCGAACGGTCATTAGCTCACTTGATCACAATTGGACGACTGGATTGGGGGAAATATATATCTTCATTATGGTAGGGAAAATATAGAAACCTTTTCCTTTTTTAATTTAATATATAATCTCATAATATTAGGATTGTATACTATGAGATTGTTTATTTTTTATACAAGGAGGTCACAATGACTTCTAGCCATTAAATGTGAAATTCAATAGATGAAAGTGTGTCACACATACCAAAAAAAAAAAAGTGTCATAACATTCGAGAATTTTTGTTTTGGACATTGTGCCCAAAGAATGACACATCCTCAACTATCTGATTTCAAAGCTAATGGTCAATACTGATTACGACATTCTTGTATCAAAAGTAAATGTCATTATGACAAACTCTGTATTATATACATTTCCCTTTATATTTATATCAATTAACATAGGGTGTAGTTTTTATAAGGTTAAAACCTTAAACAATCTAATTAAGGCACACCTTTAAATTTGATCATTACATATAATTTTGGTGTAAAAAATTATTAGGATTATCTAAAAAACTATTTTTCACATCTAATTATAAAATGTTAAACTTTAAAAAGGTTAAAATCAAGTAGATCAAAAAACATATGAAAATATTGAAAATAGACGATTTAGATAATATGTTGCAAGATGCACTATTTATCAGACTCAATTTTTTATTTTTTTTATTCTTACACATCTTGATGTCGAGATGATCAATTAGATGATTTTTCAAAATTAAAATAACATTTTCCTGTTGATTTTCGAGGTGCATCTTTAATTTTACATTTTCGGATTACAATCTTATATAAACTTTTTCATTAAGATAATACCTGCAAAGCGATGCAACTTACTAGTTAATAATTATATATAACAGATGAGTAAACCTTCCAAACATTTGGCCACTATAATGAATAGTAATTTAGGTGCAATCCCAACTGTCAGATCTTCATCATATGATTCAGAGTGCATATCAATATATAAATTTTAATAGTTTTTCTAAAAATCGGATCCTAATGAAATTTAAGACGTGTGTACTAAAAAATAGGTCGCACAATTAAAAAATATTTCCTAAAATATAAAATAATTAAAATACCCCTAAAAAATGAGGGTAATTTGATCCTTTTAAATTATTGAAAATACTTTTTTTCTTGTTTTATATGGTGTGCAATAGTTTTATATGGTTTCTAGTTTGCGATCATAAACCATCCAATTAAGGCGTACCTCCAAATTTTATCATAACATGTAATTTTGGTGTAAAAATTCTTAGCATTGTCTAAAATTTTATTTTTATATCTAATTATAAAATTTCAAATTTAAAAAGTGATTAAAATCAAGTAGATCCATAAACGTATGAAAATCTTGAAAATGGGCAGTTTAGATAATGTGTTGCAAGATGCACTATTTTTCGAACTCAAAATCTTTTTTTTTTCATATTTATACATGTTGATGTCGAGATGATCAATTAGAGGGTTTTTCAACATTAAAACAACCTTCTTCAATGGATTTTTGGGATACATCTTTAATTCTATATTTTAAAATTGTATAAACTTTTTCTTTTAGGTATATATAAGTTTTATAAACAAAATTTTATTTTAATTAGATTTATAAAAAAATTAAAATTAAAATTAAAATAATAATATATATTTTGAACTACTAGGTCAATGAACCACCACTACTATTGTTGATTACAGCTGCCCGTGTTGGTTGCAGCTGCCCGTGTGTGTGGGAGCTTTTTCCATACCAGTTGAGGCGTTGTAAATGTGACTCTGAGCTTCGGCTGCGAGTTTTCCTTTTATACGACTCAACGAAAGAGAGACGTTTGAGAGAGAGAGAGAGAGAGAGAGAGGGGGAGAGAGAGAAGGTGGGGACCCGTTTCGTATCGAAGAGGTTAGAGAAAGGCAAAGACCTGTTTACCTTTTTGTATTTAACGGAATTGATATCGCTCTTGAAAGCGTAGAAGGATGTTGCAGAGGCCGAGAAGACGGTGCGAAGGCACGGCCATGGGCGCAATCGTTCTCGACTTGCGACCTGGTGGTGGCCTTGGACCCTTCAATCTAGGTAATTTTTCAAACCCTAATGTTGATTTAATTGCCAATTCTTTGAGTTTGTTATCTACTTGCCAGTTGATTTTGATTTTCTGATGGAGGATACCGTTTTAGATTAGCTTTTTTTTTTTTTTTTAACAAAATTTGAAATTTGGCAGATTCATTCATTTGTTTTTTCTGTTTTCTGCGATTTAATGTTCCCATTGTGTTTTCTGTACTTGTCTTCAGTAGATCAGAATGGGTGGTAATAAGTTTTGGATAAGAAAGAATTGGTCGTCAATATGGTTCCTGAATTATACCTAAATTCTTAAGCAATCAGATTGGTGTATTCATTGGGCGGGCATAAATCAGTTGTTTCTCCATTGCTTTCTGGTTTTTTCGTTGCTTCTTCTCTTTTTCAGTTCTGCTATTCTCTTCTTCTCTCTTCATTCGTTTCAGTTCTGCTATTCTCTCCTCATTGATCTTTCAAGAGATTTATGATCATCTGATTGAAATAGTAAATAGTATTGGTCACATATTTGGATATAAATGTAAATTAGGTGGGGCATCCATGAGGTTGGTTGAATTAGCTTATTTTCCCCTCATATTGTTTATAAAAAATGAAATTTGTGCCCTCTTTGGCTTTCCAAGAACTTATATTGTTATCTAATTGAATGATAAAGTAGTATTGGTTGCATAATTGGCTATGGATTGGTGATGTCTCCAATGATATTAGAGGAGGGTTGTTGAATTAAGGCAATTTTTTCCTTATTGGTTTTTCAAGAGCTTTATTGTCGTCTGATTAGAACTTTAATTAGTATACTTGGGTAAATCTTATATTGCATCTTATGATACTAGATGAGGGCTTTTGAAATTGAAGTCATTTTACAACTCTTTCATCTCTCTGCCTACTCTTCTTCTAATGCATACAGTGCTCATTTTTGTACTGGGAAGACACATTATAGTCATGTAGTCCCTCCCTCTTTATATCCCTCCCTTCTTATTCTTTTCTTTAGAATTCACAGGCTTGGTTGAAACAGAAGGCCTTGATGCAACTTTGTAAAATATCATTTTGCTACCTGTTATTTACCATACTAATACTACGCTGTCAACATTTGTCCGAGAAAATTTAGGTTCATGTTTGTTTTTCAAGAGCTTTATTGTTTTCTGATTGAAATATTCAATATTATTGGAGACTTTGATATGTAAAACTGGTGATGTATCTAATGATGTTAGATGATTTGTACTTGAAGTCATTTTTCACCTTTATGATTGTGAAAAATAAAATTTATTCTCAACAGTGGAAACAAAAAAAGTAGTCCCTTATTAGTTTTCAAGAGCTTTATTATTGTCCGATTGAAACAACAAATGACATTGAATCATAACTGGGTATTAATGGTAAATTTGGTGATGCATCCTATGATACTGGAGGAGGGCTTTTGAAATTGAAGTCATTTTCAATTTGATGATTATGAAAGTCGAAAATTTATGCCCAACATTAAATTGTTGTTCCCCATTTGTTATTTTCAAAGACTTGGATTTAGTGATGTATCTGATGAGACTATAGCGATGGTTGAATTAAGGGAAATATACTCTTTCAAGCAATGAATTCGCTACTAGTAGCATGTATGTCAATGTTAAAAAAGGCATAGGTAGCCAGGGGTCTTGACTGCCTGGGCGGGCCCCCAAATACTTGTACAGTCCTAAGTTGTAGGGAAGTGAGGGGCATTTGCGCGTGTGTGTGTGCGTGCGTGTGTGTGTGCATGTGTGTGTGTGTGTGTGTGTGTGTGTGTGTGTGTGTGTGTG